CCAATACTTACCCGAGCCTGATCGCGATCCAGTGACGTGCTTGAGAATGGCTGCTCTCCCAGGGTCTCTGCTTCCTCACTGGCTGAGAGACACCAGGGGGAGACATTGGCTCCAGCAGCTGTCAATCACAGTCAGTGAGGAGGAAGCAGGGGGTGGAGCAGAGCCCCATTCTATGGGTCTTATGGACACTCAGAGAGGGGCACGAAAGCGAGCATACATGAGTCCCTCAGAGCAAGCTGTTATAACAGCACTCAGAGAAGAGGAGGAGCCAAGAGCGCCAGTGGGGAACATGAGAAGAGGAGGATCGTCGCTGCTCTGTGCAAAACCATTGTATAGAGCAGATAAGTAGATAAGTATAACACATTTGTTTTGTTTTTGTTAATTCTACCTTTTATATCACTAAGAGTCAGGACCCCAAAAATGCTATTTCTGTTTCTGTGACTAACTAGGTAGTAAATTAAGGCTAAGTTCACACTGGCATTGAAAGCAGGCATTTGAGGGGCATTTTTAACGCTCCCCAAATGTCTATGCAAATGATAGTATGCACAGCACACAGTGCTGTTCACGTTATCAAAACATGGAGGGTTAGCATTGCTTCACTTTGCTTCAAAACTGAAGCCTCATGTCGAGTCTGGAGGAGTTTGAAGCCTTTCAACGTCTCTCATTCAAGTCTATGGTAACACTATTATAGGTGTTTGTGGTGCGATTTTAACACGCCCCAGAAACGCACGAGTCAAAAACACCTATTAACGCACAGTAATGCTATATGTCCGTTTGTTAGGAGTTAGCATCTTGAGTCAAGTGTGAACAAAGGATAAGGATGAAAGCTGCAGAGCATGCACTTTTAAAAACAAGTCTGATTCACAAGTCTGCATCACTGCAAAGTCTTCCGTCCGGGCAGGTGCCTCTGCATGCATGCATATACTCATGTGCTGACAGGAAACATGCAGAAAGGATGAAAAGAGCAGAGTAGATGACATACTGGGGTGGATTTACTAAAGGCAAACAGATTGTAGTTGCACTTATTTACCCCAGAGTTCAGTAAATGTAGTAAAGCTCTGCTGATTTCCATCAACCAATTATGTGCAAGCAAAAATGCATTTGTTTTTCCCTTGCACCTGATGTGGGTAATCTTTACAAAGTGAAGCTTTATCACACTTACATTTACTAAAGGGAACTGAGTGCAACTGCACTTACAAAAGTGCACAGTCTATTTGCCTTTAGTAAAACCACCCCATTGTGTTGCTACCCCTTCAATCAAGCTTCAGCATGAGGCAACATCTTTGTCTTTCTAAACTAACAGATAAAACAGTTCGCATATTTATTTAGCTTTTTGTCTGGAACTTAGTACTAACATAAGCCAATACTTTAGAAAGGCCCCTGTGCTAGAGCAAATGTACACAAGAATGCCAACTAGTTCAAGTTAGTTCAAGCAAACATGCCTAGATTGTACTGCAAACACTTCAGGGTTTATTATTTTTACATATACATATTTATGTATATATATGTATACATACATTTTTACATATTGCTGCCCAGTAATTCTAAGTTGAACTTGTACTGTTTAAAAGAAGAACAGACAGAACTGCAGACAAGATACAATGGGCACCTCTGTTAGACCATTTAGTCTGGTCTTCTCCATTAGGCTTTCCAAAGGAATGTCAACAGCTATGGAGCCTACAGTTTTTTTTACTATAGAACAGCTCTATGTATCTGTGCATCAAAATATGTAAGTTGTATTGCAAAAACGTGCTATGTCTATGTGTGTAACTAATAGCTGCTGGGCCCTGGTATTGGACCTAATTTTTGGAGAGTAAGGCGTATGAAGTGATCCCACAATGGGGTGTTTGTGTAAGAAAGCTTCAACACTTCCAATTCAGTAGTCCTTAGCTACAGCCGTATATGGGAAATCATTTGCTGATATCTGGACCTCACATGTCACAGTTGAGGACTGACAACTTAGTAGGGGTCAGGCCAGACAAAAGCTCAATTCCAACTTAAAGCCTAACTCCAAGTATACATTCATTTAAAATAGTTTGTTTGGGTCAAGCTGGCTCAAACAAATTATTTCCTATACTAATAAATAGGCCCGCTGCCAGAGCTGTATGGAGAAGCTGGTGGATAATTTCACAATTTCTTCCTCGTCCAATCAGAAGCCTTGTACTCATTGATAAATACAAGGCTTCCTGTGAATGGCTGAGCAGCACTCAGTCCAACTCAATTTTGAGTCTATGACTAAGGCCTGTGTAGGCTGAACAGCGTTTGTTCTTGTCTTGGAATGTTTTATCCCATATAAAGAAATAAAGTGAAGAAACTATTTTTTGCTGCTGCCATTTTACATGCTTGCTGACTTCAAAGTTTAATGATTAGAATAGTGTATGTAGCGGATACTACAGTGCCTTGAAAAAGTATTCATACCCCTTGATATTTTCCACATTTTGTCATGTTACAACCGAAACCGTAAATGTATTTTATTGGGATTTTTTGTGATAGACCAACACAAAGTGGTACATAATTGTGAAGTAAAAGGAAAATGATAAATGGTTTTCAACATTTTTTAAAAATAAATATCTGAAAAGTGTGGCCTGAATTTGTTTTCAGCCCCCTTTACTCTGATACCCCTAACTAAAATCTAGTGGAACCAATTGCCTTCAAAAGTCACCTAATTAGTAAATAGAGTCCACCTGTGTGTAATTAAATATCAATATAAATACAGCTGTTCTGCAAAGCCCTCAGTGGTTTGTCAGAGAACATTAGTGAACAAACCACATCATGAAGGCCAAGACAGGTCAGGGATAAAGTTGTGGGGAGGTGTAAACCAGGGTTAGGTTATAAAAAATACCCAAAGCGTTGAACATTTCATGGAGCACTGTTCAATCTATCATCCAAAAATGGAAAGCGCATGGCACAATGGCAACCCTACCAAGACATATCCATCCAAGTAAACGGACAGGCTGGGCAAGGAGAGCATTAATCAGAGAAGCACCAAAGAGGCCTATGGTAACTATGGAGGAGTTGCAGAGATCCACAGCTCAGGTGGAAGAATCTGTCCACAGGAAAACTATTAATCACACACTCCACAAAACTGGCCCTTATGGAAGAGTAGCAAGAAGAAAGTCATTGTTGAAAGAAAGCCATAAAAAGTCCCATTTGCAGTTTGCGAGATGCCATGTGAGGGACACAGCAAACATGTGGAAGAAGGTGCTCTGGTCAGATGAGACCAAAAGTGAGCTATGTGTGGCAGAAAACACTGCACATCACACTGAACACACCATCCCCACCATGAAACATGGTGGTGGCAGCATCACGTTGTGGGGATGCTTTTCTTCAGCAGGGACAGGGAAGCTGGTCAGAGTTGATAGGAAGATGGATGGAGCCAAATACAGGGCAATCTTACAAGAAAACCTGTTAGCCTCTGCAAAAGACTTGAGACTGGCGCAGAGGTTCACCTTCCAGCAGGACAACGACCCTAAACATACAGCCAGAGCTACAATGGAATGATTTATTTCAAAGCATATTCATGTGTTAGAATGGCCCAGTCAAAGTTCAGACCTAAATCCAATTGAGGATCTGTGGCAAGACTTGAAAATTGCTGTTCACAGACACTATTTGACAGAGTTTAAGCTATTTTGCAAAGAAGAATGGGCAAAAATTTCACTCTAGATGTGCAAAGCTGGTAGAGACATCCCCAAAAAGACTTGCAGCTGTAATTGCAGAGAAAGGTGGTTCTACAAAGTATTGACTCAGGGGGGCTGAATACAAATGCACACCACACTTTTCAGATATTTATTTGTAAAACATTATCAAAGTCATTTATCATTTTCCTTCCACTTCACAATTATGTGTCACTTTGTGTTGGTCTATCACATAAAATCCCAATAACATACATTTACGTTTTTGGTTGTAACATGACAAAATGTGGAAAATGTCAATGGATATGAATACTTTTTCAAGGCACTGTACATTCAGTTTATACTTGGCTGAAAGCAGGCGCATCCATTAGTAAAGGAAATAAGACTGTCTGGCCCAAACAAACTATTTAATACAAACGTAGACCTGCAGCTAGGCCTTTAAGTGGTTGTAAACCTCAGACATGAAATATGAACAAAACATATCCCTCTATAGTGTGTACTTGTCTCAATTAAGAGCGCCAAGTGTAAATTCTGTCTGCTGCTTCTTTCCTCTCCTATCTACACGAGTCACTTCTGACAAGTTTTCCTGACACCAAGAGAAAAAGGTAACGAGCAAGGGACCTCCAGCTGACTGACAGCCTCAGCTCTGTACCTGTGAGCTGTGTTAAGGGGGTGTGTCCCCTCCCTCCAATCAGCTCTCATTGCTCTCCTCAAGGAGCTCTGCAAAGTGTGATTTCAACTCTCCACCCCCTGTTGTCTGACAGCTTAGACAAGCTTTATAAATTCTGAACTTTCAATGGATGTAGAAAAAAGAAGAATGCAGACAAGCAGGTACAACTTATGTAGGAGTAGTTGTTTCATCTCTGTGTATCACGTGAGGCCAGTCACTTCACTGGGCATATGGAAGGGTTTACAACCACTTTAAATTGAACCTGTAAAAAAACCTGGGCGTTTCTGACCAAGCACATGATGAAAAATGGAAAAGTAGTAGCTACTTGACAAGAAACATAAAATTCAAACCTTACTTGTTTGCTTTTGTATAATGTGGATTTGTTGTGGGCCTAATGCAGCAGCTGTTACCTATATGAACAGTCAGTGCTAAGAGCTTTTTCCCTCTCATTTATTATAAAAAGAACAGTGAACTAATTAGGAAAAAAAAAGGAACACATCTGGTTGACCGCTCAACTATGAACACTTTTCTTGAAACCACTTGAATAAAATCACATATCCACAAACAGTGGATGACATTATTAGAAAATATCTAAAGCATTTCAAGCTCACTCAGCGCTTATTCATAGCTGAAAGTAACTTGTTTTTTCCTATGTAGATGAATATTATGTTCATTATTTGCACAAATTGTATTCTTACCTGTGCAGTCTCTGCCATCTTTTGCTCAAAGTCAGATTTTACAGCAGCGTATTTCTCAACACAGCCCTTGTAGCTTTCTGTGGCTTTCTTGGCTTTTAATGATGCCTAGTAAAACAAAGATTTGAAAAGGTAAACGTTACTTAAAAAGAAACCTAATTGTCTAAAGCCAATACTGCCTAGACTAGCTAAAAAATAAGCATTACAGACAGCAGTCACCATTAAGTGCCTGCTCTTATCCTCCCATGTGCTCCTACACTGCCCTGATCCATCACCAGAACCCCTAGGAAAAAAAAACAAAAAAACAGTACTTCAGTATAGGGGTTCCACAAGGGAACACCCCTGTCTCCTAAAGCATGGCACCAGAGTGGCTAACAAATTAAAGAAAACCAGAAATTGTGCTAATTGTGCCATTTTATGCAGCATAACTATTTTAAGAAACCTGAATAAAAATGTTGAAGATTTAGCACCTGTTACATATGTATTTTTTTAAAGCACATCATGCATTTTACAGAGTTTCAAATGCTTTGATTTAAAATGCAACAAAAAAGAAAAACGTGTTTTCAGTACATTTTCCATGTGTTGCCTCTGGCTAAAATGTAACGTGTTTTTACAAAAATCCACCAAAGATGCAACCAGCAGGATTTTTTAGAAACGCAAAGCACTGTCCTCTAATGTAACGCACTGATGTGAACAGCTTTATATATTACAGTGGTAATACACTTTCATGTTTTAAGTGCACGGTTATCCTGCTTAGTATTGCGCATAAGATGCAGGTATGAACAAGCACTTGACAATAACTGTGAGATATCCCATAGCTTACAACCCTCTGCCAGAGCAGTTATAGTATTTTTTTTTGCAGTTAGGGCCTGAAGGTTAGTTAAAACCACCAAAACATTATATAATTCCTGAAAGAAAAAAAAAATAGAGGTAGTTTTTAATGTAACATATTAGTTCAACTATTTTTTAAAATCCGTATTTTCAGTAAAGCATACACAAAAGATTAATTAGAAAACACAAATTATTACCCAATTTTTGGTAAACAATAACAGCTAAGAAAATGTTGAGTAAACTGATACCAAACATGCCAAGCCTTACAATTGTGTGCGTCTGTGAAACGGGGACAAGTTACAGTATCTGAAACTGTCCATAGGCGACAATTTTCAGGTTATCAGTTCAGAGTTTACTGTGATCAGTTGGTAACTGTTAATCATTTTTGCATACTTGGGCACACCCAATGCATGGGTTTATGCTTGTACTGTATGTACAGGGGGAAGGACGGCTTATTTAAAAAAAAAAAAAAAAAAAAAAAAAGTGTGTTTGATTTTAACGTGGTCACATTTTTTTTGTTTTTACTTAGTGCTATCACATAGGTGACTTATTGCTATCACATAGAGGCCTTACACCGATAGCAGTGTAAGGGTGAAGAGAGTTTGTTTCTCTGGGACAGAAAATAGGAGGAATTCTTCCTGACAAGACTCACAAGGGTTTAACCCTTCCTTACTTGCACTTAATTTTTGTGGTGTCCCATGCCTCTGCCTGGTACACATCCAGAAATCTAAAACAATTCCTCAGCATGTTATAGCTGGGTAGGTTTGAACTGAAACATAGGCCTCACTCCCATGATGCAACAAGAGCTTTCCCAAGTCATGTCCTCTATGGACCTGACTAGCAATCAGCATTATGTAGGTGATGCTTTTAATTATGTATTTTGCAAAGCGTCATCTACTTCATTTGTATATTTCCTGCTCTCATAATTCAATAAACCGCAAAAAAAAAAAAAATCATTGAATTGCTTATATAATAATCAGGGTTTAGTGTTCTTTCTTTTGTATTGAAAACAGAAAACAAAGGCCATTTTTTTTCTTGCACAACATATGAATATTTGAGGCAGGACGATCCCTTAAACACGAATGGTTTTTGAAAAGTACCATTAATTCTTAAAAAGACGTCTGGTATTATGGCACATGACCAGTTCAAATGTAAATTTGGCATCTTTAAAAAAAATGTATAATAAAGCAGGTCATCAACCCATCATGCCACGCACTCTTTTTTTAAACCAAACAATCTGCAAGCTCTCTGTATGAATACTTGTGACTAAAAATAATCACATCCTAATTGTCTTAACATGGGTGGGGGACAAGAAAACAAGGCTGAGATTAGCTGTGACAACTATTTTATGTGGATTAACTCCCTTGCGTCTAAAGTTAAGAACATTTAAAAGGACAATAACCTCAGAGCATAAATAGAAAACATAACATACTGTATACTGTACAAATGCCTTATTTCAACAGGTCTGGCTGAATGCATATCTGTATTTACTGGCAGACCTATAAGTAGGGATCATGGGATGACAGTCCATAATGCCTACTCAGTTCCCTTCTTGTTCCCAGGATAGAGGCTCTTTAGTTGTCCCTGTTCTTCACTTCATTTAGGCTGGCATACAACAGGCATCTTAAGTGGAATTCAAGTCTGGATCTAAGCTTAAAACTGCTCCCACCACCCTTCTAACTACCCTGTAGAAAGAAGGTACAAGTATACAAGTCTCTATTTTTGTTCCATTTAAAAAATGGAAGCAGACCTAAGTGGATATAAATGGATAGAGTTTATTTTTGCATTGGTTGCAAGGAGCCGTCACCAGTCAGCGTCCTACCAACCAGTGACTCATCAGGGGAATCCCTGCGGATAGCAGAATGTAAACAAATTGGGGGGGGCTGCAGTGTGTGTGTGTGTGTGCGCGGAAGGGGGATGGGGGGGCAGTGTGTACAGAGAGGGTGGAGTGTGCACGCAGAGGCTGTCACTTGCCAGCTCCAAATGACATTGCCAATTCTCCGCACCGCTAAAGTAAACAAAGGGGCAGGGTAATCCTGTGACATCACCTGGTGACACCACCCCTTTGTTTATTTTAGTGTGGGGAGATGCGGAGCTGTCATTCGGCCCTACTGCTGAGCTAGCCAAAGGGGCGGGGTCACTATATGAAAAACATATAGTTGTGCTTACATTACATAACGCATGCATGGAACTCAAAAACTTTGTCTGCTTGAGCTCTATTAGTGGCAAATCAAGGGATTTTTAGTAACATGTTACTATACACCCCCTTCCCTACCCTCACTGTGACCTGCTGATTGTAGATGCAATGCTTCGCACGCTCCTGAGCAAAAAAAATAATACAAGCACATTTTATAAACTGCTAAAATATGTGCATTTATATATTTTTATTGGTGAGCCTTTAAATTGATCATACACTAGTAGACTTTCTTTTAAAAACTTTTGGCATTCAAATTGTTAGTGTGGTCATACTGTAGTCAAGGTTTGTTTTCGACTTAAGTGACGAAAAATTTGATTGACTTTATCAGTGAATTTACTTTTCATTCGAGAAAGTCCTATCACATCAAAATCAAATGTTAAAAGCGAACATTATTTAAATATTTTTGAATTTCATTCTTCGGCATCCAATGTAAGGATGAGAATTTTTGATTGAATGTCTTTGAAAATCTACTAGTATATGGTCAGCGTTACATTCAGGTCAGAGACGTCCCTACCCTATGCATCTGACCTTTATAATTTGCAGTCCATCTCATCTGGTCAGTGAGTCTTTCTGAAGGTAGTTGTGGATAAGGGCCCTTTCACACAAGCATTCAATCTGGATCTGTCTGTCAGATTTTCAGACCAATCTAGACTGAACCACAATGTATGTCTATGGGCAGGCAGATATAAACAGACGTGTATCCGGCGATTTATGTGTGCAGAAAAAAAAAAGTTTGATTCCTTTTCCATTCTTGAGAACATTAACAGATGTCCAATTACGTCCATTTGGTTTTAAGGAAGAAACACTTTTCATTTATACTTTTGCCCACCTACATAAAACTTTTTTCTTCAAAAGTCAACAGGTGACGTCACCACCTAGGCTCTGCAACGGTTGTGGTCGCTCTCTCCTCTTCCCTGAAGCCAGCCACATGACTAAACCAGATAGCCCTTAGATTAGGTGAGTATATACATCTTTCCTTTACAAGCTAGTTAGTATAGGGCTTATAGGTTTAGACTGCACTTCTACTTTAAAGTGATATTAAACCCAGGACCCTGCATTCACTCTATCTGGTCTCCCACAGTACACACAACATGGAAATACAATTATTTTAGTAAATATAAATCGCTAAATACTTTTTCTCATCAGCAGTTAGAGCAGTCTTGTGACTTCAGCAGAGCACTGGTTAAAGCTTGCTGGAGGAGTTTTCTTTCTGCTCTAGGAGGATGTGAAACCCTTGACCCTCTGTCTGGACAGTGCTGATTGGCCCTGTGCTGATCACATGAACTCTCCTTAGGAAAAAAAAAAACAACAACTCTCTAATACACACCAAACTGAGCATGTGCATGTGACTACAGATTCAGTCTGTATCAGCTGGTCATTTCAACAAGAGGGGCAGAGAAGAAAAGATCAAACAGCCTTTTTACACCATGCAGAGGATTAACCCCTTAGGTTCCACAGTGAGTATAACAAGCATACTTTTCTGCAAATACAGACTGATTTTACTGTTGTGGGTTTAGTAAAACTTCAAGGTGTAGGATCCATTTCCAAGGACATTGTGTGGTGAATAAAACACAGCTACACAGAAAGATTGTCAACTCTGAAACATTATTTTTTTTTTGTAGTACATATTTGAACTTCAGCACTGGTTATGTATGTGGATATATTATTCTATTTATTTCATCACAGCTGCTTTTAAAATTATAATGGTTTCCAAATCTGTTTATTTGTTGGCGCAGTTGTAGGGGATATATTATCACCTTCAAGCATTGATTGTGGTGTAGTGCATATGTTTTGTTTGATTTTGCCTTCTAGACATACACTTTAAGCCTAGTACTCAAGTTGGCCAAAAGAGAGCGTATATGAAAAATAGGAGAGATATGACAGTGAGTGCAGATCTGCATTCAGCAATCAATGCACCCCTGTTCTTTGAGCCATAAAGCTTATTGCAAAGATGTAGCCTGCCTTGGTAGAATCAATCTTTGAAATGCCTGAGATACTGCAGGTATGCGATTGGGTGCTCGGTAATTCCTTAACCAATGCAAAAGTGTTTTTTTTTTCTTTACAAAAGCAAATGCCAGCTTAGTTTTATTCATCTTTTAGCACAGAATAAGGAAGATACTGTTGCCAGTTAATACGGCCTTTGGTGTTTTCCTCTTACACGCAGTTTAAGGATTTCCTTGTATTACATTATGTCTGCAGACAAATATGGGAACTGCGGCAATAGGTGAGGCTGCCCATTTCTCAAACAGCAATAGTGTGACAGCAGGGCCAGTACACAATATACTGTACAATCAGGCTAAAATGAAGGGCTCTCTAAGATTCCCTTTTCAAGAGAAAGATTAGAATATGAACTGCACTGCAAGCACATTGAAGGACTCAAAGCCTAAATCCATACTGCATTTAGTTTCTAGGACTGCATAAAGCATTCAGTTACAGTGATGGCCCAGAAAAATCATACAAAACATGAGGTCACAAAGAAATCCCATATTTGCATACAGCAAGTGAAATTTAATTTCTACGTTCACGTCTAAGCAAATGGATGCAATAAATGATAAAGTAGCAGCGCTAGCTCTACTGGATGAACGTGTGTCACTATAATAAGCAGGAAGCTGTTAAAATAATTTATTAAAACCTCTAAATATAATTACAGACAACATTGTTATCTGCTTTTCTTTCAGAAGAGCAGTAAACATGCAACCTTGGAACCTGCCCCTTCAATTACATTATGCTAATGGACAGCACAGTGAACAAAAGGTGGCTAAGGACTCATTCAAAAGGATGCAGAACAGGAGTTTATTTAACGCGCCCAGAAAAACATGGAGATTTATGCAGGCAGCCCATGTTAGTCAATGGGACACAGCACCCACACATCTGAGTTTGACAGGTATGCAGGGATGGGTGCATGGCCCCGAACACAGTCAGTGTGTCATGCGCACATCCTTGCACACCTTTCAAACTTGGAGGCGAGTATACAGTTGCTGTGTCTCCACTAACACAGACTGTCTGTATGCGGTTCTATGCTGCCCTAGATGCATAAACAAATATCTTTTCATGCTATACAGGCCTTTGCACTCCCGTGAATAAGCCCTATATTGGAAGTTTGTCTTTTAGCCTTAGTATCCTTTGTACTATTGTTGTGGAGTTTCCATGTAAATTTGTATCTGCATGAGGTTTTCAAGGGCACACGGACACTGCTAAATTCCTTCTGAAAAAGCTAGCTACCTGGTTGTTATGATGATCTCTGGTGTTAACACTTTTGAGTCACAGACCCTCAAAAGAAGTATGAAGCAAGTGATGCAAGAACTCCAGATCTGAGATCTAGTGAACAGAAAAATTGGTGTGACAGCCAGAAAATTAGCATTTTTTGAAAAAGAGGTCAGCATTCTACATAATATTCTCAGGTTTCCATTAAAGCAAAGAGTGTTGTCAGTTAAAACACAACACCCAGTTCATTATGTTTCTCTGGAGCAGAAGACTTATCTTTGTTACCTTTTCTATCTCTTTCTGGGCTGCGCCTTCCTTCTTCAGCTTCTCCTGCTCCACACACTTGATGTTGTACAGTTCCTTGGCTTTCTGCAGGGCTTGAGTAGTACTCTGAATGTTCTGTACAGCCTCCAAAGTTCCAGATACTTCCTCCTTAGTCTGCCAAATGTAAACAAATAAAGAATCATCTATTTAATTGTCCAACAGCTTTTAGTAAGCCCAGATTAATAGAGGCAATCTTTCAAAAGACAGATACCTTTTTATGAGACTTCAGTTGTTCTTCCCCATATTTTTGGAGCTCTTTTATAAGGTCCTGTAATTTCTTGACAAGTTCTAGATGACAGCCAGCAAGCTTTTCTGTTGAAGTTTTAAAGACATCCCAAACAGGTCCAAAGGTCCTATGTAAGAAATGGCATGCCAAGTCATTTTTCTTAAATGTAAATTGAAATCTTAAAAAAAAACCTACTGTTGTTTAATTACTCAAACATACCCAAGTTGTGTATAATTGCTAGCAGTCTTGGCAAGTTTGGTCATTGACCGAGAATAAGCGTCTTCAATTGTCGACCTGTGAAGGTAGTTATAGAACAAGTTGGGGTGTGTAAAGCAGACCTGACAGATTTTAACAAAATGATAGGACAGGGATAGTACAAGTAATATTTAATTTAATTATAAAGACCTCAGAGCAAACCCATGATTACAAAAGAGTGGTAGTCACATTATTTAATATAGGGGACCTCAAGTGTGGCCCCTGACATCACCAAAAAGCCACACATAATATTCAGTAAATGTCATGCTACAGCAGGCTATCGGACTGCAGACATACAACAGGAGACGGTCAGAGACTGCAGACACGACACGGGAGACGGTCAGAGACTGCAGACACGACACGGGAGACGGTCAGAGACTGCAGACACGACACGGGAGACGATCAGAGACTGCAGACACGACACGGGAGACGATCAGAGACTGCAGACACGACACGGGAGACGATCAGAGACTGCAGACACGACACGGGAGACGATCAGAGACTGCAGACACGACACGGGAGACGATCAGAGACTGCAGACACGACACGGGAGACTGCAGACACGACACGGGAGACGATCAGAGACAGCAGACACGACACGGGAGACGATCAGAGACTGCAGACACGACACGGGAGACGATCAGAGACTGCAGACACGACAGGGGAGACGATCAGAGACTGCAGACACGACAGGGGAGACGATCAGAGACTGCAGACACGACAGGGGAGACGATCAGAGACTGCAGACACGACAGGGGAGACGATCAGAGACTGTAGACACGACACAAGAGACTATCAGAGACTGCAGACACGACACAAGAGACTATCAGAGACTGCAGACACGACACAAGAGACTATCAGAGACTGCAGACACGACACAAGAGACTATCAGAGACTGCAGACACGACACAGGAGACTATCAGAGACTGCAGACACGACACAGGAGACTATCAGAGACTGCGGACACGACACAGGAGGCTATCAGAGACTGCAGACACGACACAGGAGGCTATCAGAGACTGCAGACACGACACAGGAGGCTATCAGAGACTGCAGACCCGACACAGGAGGTAAAGTTGATCCAGAGAATATCCGTTTGCCACTCGGGGGATCAGGAAGGAATTTTTTCCCCTGCAGGAGCACATTTGATCATGCTTTGCTGAGTTTTTTGCCTTCCTCTGGATCAACTGTGGGTATAGGATTATAACTTTTTTTTTTTTAATTGGTTGAACTGGATGGACTTTTGTCTTTTTTCAGCCAGACTAACTATGTAAGTATAGCTGCCTAACATGGATTAATTAGCACCAATTGATGTGACAGTGAAAATCACAGGTAGAGGCAGACCACTTGTATACAATGGCACACTCTGTTCATCTGGCCTCACAGGAGTATGACGTGCATACCTCTCCCATTCCTGGCACCATCAGAGGGTGGAGTCTAGAAACTGCAAGAGCTGATTGTCTTGTTTCACTGAGTTGTCTTACACTGATCGAGGGATAAACACTGCCTAAAACTAGGTACACTTAATAAAACCTACTAAAAACATGCACATTGCCTTGCAGAATACAGAGAAAAGAAGCGAAAAGTCAAAAGGTAAGAAATCATAATTGCAAAGATTACTGATATATCAAAATACCTAATGTGTTTAAAAAAAAACAGCCTTTTTTTTTTTTAAGCACGCCATTTCTAACATATACTGTAAACTCCATAAACCAAGTACATTGTCAATACCCCTACCAAGAGCTTTATGTGTAATACAGAATTAAAGATGTCAAATTTAATTATAAACAAATTGATTACACTCTAATCAGGAACATGCACATCTAAAGGGATGCTAGGAATATGTTCTTTTATATAATGCTCAGTATCAGCAGTACAGTGACTGACACCAGTCCTGTGGATCACGCACACATGACAAAGAGCAAAAATGACTGATGACAGAGAAAGCCAATAGACAATGAAAGTATAGATCAGGAGGAGAGGGGATTGATGATGATTGAAGATGTTCAGATAGGCATGAAGGCAGCTAAAGACAGCTGCTTGCAGCGTCAAAGGACTACTACTTTGGAGATACAAACTCGAAGGGAATCCGATTCAACACAGGAGAAGACTTGCTACATGTGTGGGAAAGAAAAGATAAAGCTGAAATTCAGCTTTAAATCTTTTATAACGGTACAATTTTGGCAGTAGAACATTTTCACAGCTTAAGAATAGCCATGGGGGGTTGTCCCTTCCCTGCTGTGTGCCAGTGTAGAAGCTTTTTATGAAGCATTCCAAAGCATTAGCCTTAAACTTCCCAGCAGTAAAATGTTTTAAAGAACAGTAGTTAAAGTGGAAGTTTAGTCAAAATCTAACTAAGGCTGAACCTACTCCCACTCTAGGCCTATTTTATAACACCCTGTAAAGAAAAGATCTGTATAACCTATTCAGAAACCATTCTGGTCTGGTCACATGATCTCACCAACGGCGTCTTCTGTGTAGAGGTGAGATCACAGAGAACGACTACAAATGCCTGTCACCCATAGGCTTACTATGGGGCATCTGTTGTCGGCTACCCCTCTGGAAAGGACCCTTTGCCAGCTCCTTCCCCACAGCCTGCACTGACAGTCTGGTGTTGATGACCCGGGGAAGTAGTGATGTCACTTCCCCCATTGTGACAGTGTTAGGCCTAGCAATTAGCTGCTAGACCTAATCACTGTCATGGGAGGTGGTCACATTCTCCTCTATACTCAGGTGTGGATGCAGGGGAGAGCTGGTAAGGAGAGCATAAGACCGATGAAAAGAAAATAATGCTAGGTACACTTTTGGGAAAACACTGCAATAATTTAAAACACATGGTCATGTATTATGCTATACCTTCCCTTTAAAATGCGTATTATAAAGTGTAGATTTCCGACGTTATAGGAAACATCTAGAAATCTTAATTGTACCTAGACAATATACTGAAAAATATACAATTTGTCTTGAACTCCTCTGTGCCTACAGCCTCCTACATTGCACTGTATGTCTTTGACTGCTAGTCTCAGAAGATCTGGATCAAGATTTTGTGTTCTCACTGCTGAGCAACTCACTGTTGTCCGATATGAGAAAGCAATAGCTTGCTCTACCAAATTCGCCACCTCCACACAGGGATGCAGTGCAGAACAAAGCATGAAAAGTCAATCACAGGAAAAAATCAGCTGCAAGGAGACCACAATTAGTCCTGCTTTTTTGGGGGCACAAAGTTTAGGTCCTGTTTAAAGTGTGTCCACAGTCCAGTTTTATCATTAAACATTTAGAGAGCCCCATCGCCAAACTAATATTAGTTTTTCAATTTAAAACTTTTTTTTCCCCCTTTTTTTTTTTTTTTTTTTTTTTTTTTTTTAACAACCCTGATGTACAGATGACACTCAGGGCTCATACATACAACCAAAACCTAAAATTCTGAACAAAATACAAATGGTGGCTTCGAACAAAAGTTTTATATCCAAGAGCTAACAATAGGTAAAGCATCAAAAAGGGTTAACTTTTACAGCTGGTAACAACTGCCAAAGTCAGTGTTTTTTGGCAACAATTTGGATGCAATAATTCAGGAATAAATAGGACACAGCTGGAATCACAAAGCCTTGACTGTTCCAGTGACAAAGAGCAATGACACGAGGCTGACACTACTTTGCGCCATCGATTCATGGGACTCATGATAATATTAACATAAATGAAATCACAAATACTTCATACATAAAATTATCTTTCTGTTGATTACTCTGGCTGCATATGAACCCATGTTCACTAGCAATGCAACAATTAGTCATTGCTTCTGAATAAGTGACAGAGTGCCAACAAGCAATAAACATTTAAGGCGGTTCCCAAATCTTCCAGAATGCTGGGCAACGAAGGCCATGGAAGACATATAGAATGTGTACACAGGTAAGAATTAGGTCATTTCAGACCTCACTGGCTACATACAATTCTAATGTGAGTGAATTGCAAAGCAGTGAAGCCAGGAAGAGGCAACGAGCAATGACAGCATAAACATACATACTGTACATGTACATACACACAAATACATATATACACACATACATACAAATGCCTATTTCAAGACTAAAACATGTAAACACATTTGACAATTCGTCCCTTACTTAGTGTAGTTCACATATAAGTCTCCAAGAACTTTAAGAACCAAATTACAAATTATATTCATCCTTCAATGAAAACATTTACAGCGGTTTTAATCATCCCCTACTCTATCCAAAATGAAAAAAATAGGAATTTTGACTTACCTATAAATTCCTTTTCTTGGAGCACAGTACAAGACACAGGACTTGTATTCATAGACCATGAGTTATATGCAACTACCTGCAGGTGTATTGCATATTCCTTGTCATGATTCAGTGCAGGACAAAAGGGAAAGAACAATGTGCTCAATGAGATGGAAAGAAGAGACCACCTTCATTGGCATGAAGGAACGTTTTGGTCTAAAACCACTTTATCCTTGGGTAAAACAAGAATGGGTTCTTTAAAGGAAAGAACTAATTCAGAAAAATGGCTAAAGCCTGGTACGTGGTAAAGTTTTTTTTCATTCTGGCAGATCACAGTACTATCACAAGTGATTTTAGTACAGCGATCTCTCTAGTTGTGCTACTGTGTTATGACAGGGGGACCAACTCCCTGAAGAAAATTCATGATGAGGGATTGTGAGGCAAGAGGTTTCTGGATAAAGAAGAAACCTGTTCTCTGAAGGTACTCAGGGCCAGGTGCTGGTCAAGGCCAAGCTGAAGAAAGACCAAAACACAAGGGAAAGCATTCCATGAGACTTACCTCCCTGTCCTTGCAACAGGCCAAGTAAACACTCCATGTACTATGGTAAATCTTGCGGCATCAGAAATATTTCTATCCTTTAGGACTTGGGTTTCAAAAGCCATGCCATTAAAGCCTGCAATAGCAGGCTGAAGCAGGGAGGAATAAGGAGCCTTAGGACAGGACTTCAGTCTGTTTGAAAGAAATCAATGCTTGTCCTCCAGTAGTCCAAGTATGTTTGTGTACCACAATCTTCTGGGCCAATCTGGGAATCATCAGAACCCTCCTCTATCTTGCGCAGCAGTCAGGCGCAGATATTCATCGTAGGGATGGCATAAACCAGCTTGTATTGAGACCAAGGAATCACTCAATGCAACCACTGCAAAGGCTAGAGGATCCCTTGTTTAGTTTGTTGTTGAACTTATGGTCCAGAATGCCCACATCCAGTATTCCCCACCTTTGACAGGGATTTTGAAAGAGCTGGGTACAGAGACCATTTCCCCAAATCTAGGGGTTGGCAACTTAGGTATGAAGGTCCAGTGTTGTAGAGACAATCTGATGGCTCACAAATGCAGGATGTTGACAGAAAGTTTCAACTCCTGTTGGGACCAGGTTCCCCTGGACAGTAATGGAGTTGTAAACGCTACCTCTACCTGAAAGGCTGGCATCCTTTGTCAGCATTTTCCAGGACATGTGAAGGAAACACTTTCCCAACTCGAGGGCTGGATTGGAGATCCCTCAAATCAGGGAGAACTTTGAGTAGAAATGGACATAGGCATTGGGCAATCCAAGGACTGGATTTGCTTGTCCCACATCATGAGTATGTTGAATTGAAAAGATCTGGAGATAAACTGGACCAAAAAAAAAAAAAAAAAAAAACAAAAAAAAAAAAAAAAACTTATCAAGCCCAGAACCTTCATTCAGTTTCCAATTGGGGATGGGGGGGCTGCTTTGACCCTGCTTGGCACTTTTGTTTTGGGAGAAGGAAAATTCTGGACGTTGGTAGCCAAGAGTGTGGCTGAGGAATAATTCAGTAGAAGGTCCTCCGGGTAACCTGTGACATGAATGCCCTGAGTTCATAAAAAAAAAGCCAGAACTGGGGGAAGCACATTTGTGAACACTCAGGGTGAAGAACAAGAAGCCCAAATGGTAGTGCTAAAATTGATTTTCCACAGCAAAATACAAAAAACATTGATGTGATAGGAAAACAGCTATGTGTAGACATCTTATATATCTACCGGTGTCATAATTTCCCATTGTTTTAGAGAAGCAATGACAGATATTGATGACTCCATTCAGAATTTTGGCATATGTAGAAATTTGTTTAGCGACTTTAAATCTAGTATAGGGCTGAAGCCCCCATTTGGTTTTGGGATTGTGAATAGGTGTGAACAGAAGCCCTGAAACAGTTCTTCTAAAAGAAATGGTACAACCATTCTCCTTGTGCCTTAGGTAAAACAGTCATTAAATCTGCTTTCTTTTGGTCTGAAGTTGACAAATTGGAAGGCAAAAAACCAGAAGCAGGCAGAAATAGAACTCTACTTTACACCTCTTTGAAATGGCTGAATAGATCCAGAGGTCTAGCATGTATCGGATCCAAACTGGCAAAATGTGAACAAATGTTCCCTACTCTTAGGAGCGGAAGCACCCCTCCATTGCTAGGAGGGCTTCTGGGCAGGCTTGGTAGACTTGGGAATGCAAGGCTTGTTGCAAAAGAAGGTGTTAAGCCTTGATTTGGAGGTAGACACCTGGAAAAAGTGAAAATAACGCTTAGTTAAAAAATAAGTAGTAGCTGTATGAGTAGGAGACCAAAGCCTGGCACACTGAATTCTGACAGCGAGGGCTCCTCTGCTGTCAGAATCCACTAATTAGCACTGCAGCCTATTGGCTGAAACACTGATCGATTGAACATTTTCCAACAAGCCATAGATTGATTGAAATTATCTATCCCTGCTGAGCCGGCCAAATTTCGATCCATCTATGGCCAGCTTTAGGCTTTTCAGCACCTTTCCTTCAGTGACTTCTTTTATGAATTTATCAAAGAATTCCCCAAACAGGCTATCACAATCTAAAAGGCATGCATGGAAGATCCTTTTTACAAGCAGTTTTAGCAGACCAAGCTTTTAGCAACACAATCTTTTGCATAGTCACAAAGATAAGGGACATTCAAAAGACTTCATTAATCACATTCTTGAGAACGTTAACATGAAATAACAATGCTGGTGGCATCAGCAGTAATTATTCTAATACAGCAGGGTTCTCAAAGACAGATTCATGTTCTCTATCGGTCTTTTACAGTAAGCAATAGTCTGGCAAATGGACACAGCAGCAATGAATGGCTGCAGGTCAGGACTTTCAAGGGCAAAGAAGGCCTTTAAGAGAGCTTTCAGATGCCTATCAACAGAATTCCTTAAAAGAGGGAACATCCTCAATAGGAACTGTAAAGATCAGTACACGCTGCAAACGGCTGATTTTTGGACAGTGTGTACTCAGCTTAAGGTGTATATTGAGGAATTATATGGCAGGATTCACTAGGAACCAGTCCATTTCTTTTTAAAATGCTTTTCCACAGGATAAATCTCAGCAAAAAGCATTGGACCAATCCTTACAAGGTGCACAATCAATCTGTGCATGTATTGGAAAAGTCTATCTGGACAGTTTTTGGTGCCATAGGGGCACGTGAAAAGTCTGGTGCTGTATGCAAAGACTAGTGTGCACCACATCAAATAGCCTTCCACAGTAGAGAACATTTAGCTTGAAGTCATAGCTTGTACTTCACACAAAATCAGTTACTTCAATACTTTCATCCATAATATCCTTAAGGAAAGGAATTTCCGCTTCTGAATCCTGAAATGAATCAGGGGGAATAGAGGACATATAGCATTTCTGGCCTCTGGAAACCTAAGGTTCTAGATGTGCAGAAGTTTTCCAAATAATTCAGATATAGTGGCAGAGAAAACTGCATTTGTCAGACAGGCCACATGTTGTGTGCTTGGGAGAGAGCCAGAGTCAGATAATGGGAGAGGTGTTACTGCTCTGGGACAATAGAATAGCCATCACCCTGAACGGCACTTAGTTTCCTGTAGGTCATCTGCAGAATGCATCCTATTTGGCCCTTTTATCCTAGCTTTCTTGAACCCATGGTCTGTCATTGCTAACTGAGGGAATCCCCAGCAGGGTACTCACAGTTTTGGAGTACAAAATGGATGGAGTTATGCATGTCCAGATATAGGAGCCACTATAACCCAGGTGCTGATTTGCTTGAAAGTAGCAGCAGGAATGCAGCAATGTTCTGTGCGTTCTCAGAGGAAAAGACAGGCAGGAAGGCATAATCTGGAGAGCATAACCCAGTTACCTGTTCTATCTGAGGCAAAGTGTGGAAAGAAGTAGAAATAAATGGCAAGTTTAAATTGCTTGCACCAAGAAACAAAATAGCAGGGGTTACTACAATAAAGTGAATATTCTCCAAATCCTCTGCCTAAAGAACCACATAATGTGCTACGCACTGCAGACAGTAAAACCCAGAAATGAATGTAAATACACAGGGAAATCCTATCTCACCATAACCACAACACTGCAGCTATTAAAGATCCAGGCTTCATCAGTCACAGTGAGCATACCCTTCAGCAATTTATTCAGGATCAGGGAGCAATAGAAAAGGACCACAGCCCTGGATCTTTATAGAACCTTGTGGCTATCTACAAAATGGTTTATGTACCAAGGTGAGCGTTGAATGCAGGATCCAGCACCAGAAGCAATCTTTACAGGCTGGTCCCACACAGTGGAGTTCCGAGGAGATCCCCAAGGGACACAGAGAGGGTAACTGATCCAGAAACTGCTAGGTAGCCAAGGGCAGTAAGCAGTTGGATCTTTATAGAAGCTAGAGAAAAAAAAAATTGAATGGTTAGACCTTTTGTTCTCTGAAAAATTATTTATTTTTCTATCACTGTAGGATGTCAGCAAAAAAAAAATAAAGTTTCACAAAGTGGGCAGTTATATATGATGTGTTCTGGGGGCAGCTCTAGCAAATTATGTGCCTGAAGGTATTTGTATTTATCCCACAGTCTAGGAAAAGTCCTGTGTTCTGTACGATTAAGAGAAACATTTTGGCTTTTGAATATACTTTAAAATTTCAGCTACTCAACATCAACCCTCCTGGCCTTACAAAATTCTGGTCCCCAAATTTTACTCTGCCCTATGCAGATTGTAGTAGTTGAGTCCACTGAAGTCTATGGGGATATCCAGATTTTCTAACAAGCTGCACAGTAACACTCAATACTAAAAGCATGACAGCAGTTTAAGTGATGCAGCGGAACCAAAATTATTTACTACCTGATGTCTCTAAAGCCTCATATACACGATGAAAATATCGGAAGATGAGCGTCTATTTTTTGGGGGGGGGGGGGGGGGGGGGGGGGGGTTTGCATGCTAGTTGAAAGGGATCAGAATGTAGGGCGAGGAACATACATTTCCCTTCACTAGTCACATGTCGAAAGTGAAGAGGTTACTAAAGACAGAAAAGACAGAATACAACTTTGGAAGTAATTTAATGTATTAAATTGTAATGCATTTTTGTTTCAGAACATGTGCGGTCTTGGTCACGATTATTTATGGAAGAATACTGTACTGTTTAAATGAAAATCGTCCGTTCTGTTAACATATGAGAAACATTTTTGCGCTTGTCCCTTTGGGTAATTTCGCATGAACTGTAGTGACTGGATCTCAAAAGCTGTGTACTGACAATCAGATTATCAAATGATTGCTTTAAAAGTGGTATTTGTGGTCCAATTTTCTCATCGTGTGTACTATGTTTAAGGAAGCCATAAAGAAAAGTGTAATTTACACCTTACACCTAGGTGTCCCACCTGTACAAAAACGGTCTTGCGTTATCTAATGAAAATCAGGTGGGCAACATTAATTGTGATAAATGGCATACCTGCTACAGCTTGCTTTTCAAGAACACCTGATCAAACCTGGCCAGTAATCCACTACATGGATGCATCAGTCATCAACTGATAGGCAGGTGTTCTGCTTATTACAGTCATTCAGAGGTGGGAGATGACAGGAATGGTAATGAAGGCAGCTGTAGACTGCTATGGCACAAACAGGCACTAAAAGGCTGCCTTGGATGCTTTAAATGCTGGCACAGCACAAACTGACTGAACACAGTATTTTAACACAAAATTACACAAATATGAAAAGAGAAGAGAAGACAGCACCTTTCCCGAATAAACTCTGAGAGCTCCTTTGTTGATATCTGGCCATGTTTCATGTTGTGATATAGCACATCGAAGCCATTATTCTTCTCCCCCTACAATAAAAAAAGAAGATGGAAAACTTTAATAAAACAACTGCACATAGGCAATCCTTCACAGTAACAGACGGAATGCATGGCATAAAAAGCAAATAGAATTATTAAAGCCACTATGTGACCGAAAATATTTAAAAAATCACCTTGCGAAAGAAGGGAGGTAATACCTTTTCTACCACCTGAGCCTTCAATCTACTGTCTCTTTCAGAGCTATGCTACCTAAAGGATCGTCAGCATTTAAACCAACTCCAAGATTGTCATATGCCCGTTTCCCCCACTGCGCAATGTGGTTCCATTCACTACTTGCTGTTGTTTAGGTTTGTTCTCATATTACAGGTTTTTGGTAAATCTAAAGCAAAATTCTCAGGAAAATTGTATAGTGTATGGCCAGCCTAATGCAGGCCATAGATGGGGGAGAAAACCAGACGATTTTTCTTTAAAAAAAGCGAAAAATCAGTCGTTCAATCGGCCAACGTTACCAGGAACGGTAAAAAAAAAAAAAACCGGCTGATTTTCATCCCGTCTATAGCCGGCAAAAAGTGTCTCTGCAGAGAGCTCCACTATTTCTTTGACATTTATAGTGGCTGCAACAATGTATCTATTTGTATCCATTTTCGGATGCAGATGTTTTTATTCGGAAACAAATACATTGTTGCAGCCGCTATAAATGTCAAAGAACTGTCAAAGAAATAGAGGAGCTCTCTGCAGGGACACTTTTTGCCGGACTGGAATTCTTCTTCTTCTTTATCCTCTTCTTCTTCTTCTTTTTGTCTTCCTCTTGCAGGTCACTGCTCATGCGCAGATTTTTTATCGGTAAAAAGATCGCCCGATTTGCCTATCACTGCCCCGCGAAAATCGGCCAATCGGCAAAATCGGCCAATTTTTTTTCAAACTTTACCGATAAAAAAAAATCTGCCAAAATACCGAAAAACGACCAATCTATTAACCCACTAACGATCCGAAAAATCGGCCGATTTTATTTTCGGCCGAATAATCGGCCGATTTTTGACCCATCTATGGCCTGCATAAGTGTTTGTATCATGAATCAAGCCAAGGCGTTCATTCACATAAACAACAGGAGTAGAAACGTGTTAGTACACCCTGTGAATTTGGAGACCAAGGCCAGTCTACACTGCTCTGACTTTTTCAAATACATGTTAAAAATGCGCATTGTAGGCCTTCAGATTACTTAATACCCCAAAACATTGTATATCTGAAGCCACCCAGATGACTTTTACCAGAAAGCCAGAAGCCTGTTGAACAAAACTAAAACAAGCTGCCATTAACTTGCTTTAGCCCTTTTATTGCCATAACATGTGAGACATGTCACAAACAGTCAGATAATTAACAGGTATATCCAACTACAGTGGGGTCTGGATACCTAAAAAGAACCTGTCACCAAACTATGCATTTCAACAATAATCTTCAAATAAGACCGTATGTGCATTTAGCATTGGTTCACACAGAAGCGACATGTGATTTACAAATCGCACCAGAAGTCACATCTAATTTATTTCTATGGCACTGTATTAATCAGTGCAATTTGTAATGTGATTTCAAAAACAGTTCCTGCGCTACTTTTTCTGATTTCATTGTAGCTTGCATTGACTTCAATTAAATGAAGTTGAAAGCTGCAGTGAAATATGAGGTGTAAATTGCACTGATATGCAGTTTTAAAATCGCACTACTTCAAGTGAATTGGTGTGAGTTCAAAGTTGCATTCAGTGTGAACCAGGGCTAAATGTATTTTAGACATGTTTTTTGACTGAAAAAGCTCATTTTGTAGACATTAAAAAACCCCGAGACTGCTGCCATTGCACCATCCGCTTACATGTCATTAGCCCCAGCAGACACAGAACTATCACTACTGACACAGTAAAGCAGGGGTCATCAAAGTTTCTACAGAAAGATCCAGCTTACTGTCGTTCAGACTTTAGGAGGGCCGGACTACTCCCAGTGGGAGTAAAAAATGCCCAATGTTTATTGGGGGGGGGGGGGGGGGGGGAGAAATATTCTGTGTCAGTGGGAGGAATAGTGCTGCATTTTTGTTGTCAGTGAAAGGAATTATGCCCCATCATTGGTGTCAGTGGTAGGAATTATGCGCAATTGTTAGTGTCAGGAATTATGTCCCGTGTTGATGTCAGTGGTAGAAATTATGCCCCATTGTGGTGTCAGTGGCAGGACATATGCCCCATTGTTGGTGTCAGTGGCAGGACATATGCCCCATTGTTGGTGTCAGTGGCAGGACATATGCCCCATTGTTGGTGTCAGTGGCAGGACATATGCCCCATTGTTGGTGTCAGTGGCAGGACATATGCCCCATTGTTGGTGTCAGTGGCAGGACATATGCCCCATTGTTGGTGTCAGTGGCAGGACATATGCCCCATTGTTGGTGTCAATGGCAGGACATATGCCCCATTGTTGGTGTCAGTGGCAGGACATATGCCCCATTGTTGGTGTCAGTGGCAGGACATATGCCCCATTGTTGGTGTCAGTGGCAGGACATATGCCCCATTGTTGGTGTCAATGGCAGGACATATGCCCCAATGTTGGTGTCAGTGGCAAGAGAAATACTTCAAGGGCCAGGTAAAGGCAAGCAAAGGGCTACATCCAGCTGCAGGGCAGCAGTCTGGAGACCACTGCTCTACAGTATTCCCCCTTTGCTCCTCCCCCAGCAGCTACTTAAATGTTTATGTAGGGGGATGAAGGAATAGACAAAGGAGTCCTCCCAGAAGAAAAGGAGGGACGTGGCATTCAAGAAGGAAGGGTGCCTTCCAGAAAGGTAAAACTCTTATAGTAAGCAATACTGGATTTTTCTGTGGTATATACTGCAATTTTTTTAGGTTAGTGACAAGGTTTCTTTTAGAGCAGAGATCTCAGCACCATAATCTGAGATATATTGCAGAGCTATTTTCACACCCACAACTGCTTTACTCACCAAGAAAACTGATCATGAGGTCAAAATTTTAAACAGGGCCACACAGTAGTGTTAAATTTAAGACATTGGCATATGTTAAACCAAGGGGGACATATTCAGTATACCAAGCAAGAGTCAAAATGTTAAAAGCACTAATTCATAGCAACCAATCAGAATTCATTTGCTGCCCTCAGACCAGGCAAGTGAGATTCTGAGTGGCTGCTATGATTAGTGCACTTTACACAAAGCACTTTGCACTTGTACAAGTTTCTCTTTTGTAGGGAGGGTTGCAATGGAGTGCTAAGCTCCAGCCTTACCTTCAGTCTATATATAAAATTTAAGCAGAACCATGTGAACACTGGACACTTTAACCCCCTTCCTGCCAATGTCAGTTTACAGCACTGTCACACTGTTTTTTTTTTAGACAAATAAAGCTTTCCTTTGGTGGTATTTAATCACCACTGGGCTTTTATTTATTGACGGTATGGCATGATGGATAAGTATCTGCCTGTATTTCACAGCATTGGGGACACCATTGATCCTGACCAAATCTCCAACTCCATTTGCAGAAATGCAGCCTCAAACTTCCAAGGAACCTCCACCATGCTTCACTGTTGTCTCCAGACACTCATTATTGTACAGCTCTCCAGCCCTTTGCAAACAAACTGCCTTTTGCTACAGCCAAATATTTAAAATTTTGATTCATCAGTCCAAAGCACCTGCTGCCATTTTCCTGCCCCCCAGTTCCTATGTTTTCATGCATAGGTGAATCACTTAGCCTTGTTTCCATGTCCTAACACACATCATACTTAGAATTACACCCAAAAAACACATTGTGTTACTCTTCCGAAGTATGGCGATACCACGTGTGATACTTTTTCACAGCCTTGCCACATAGAGGAGCCCAAAATCCAAAGAGCACCTTCAGGTGTTCTAGGGACATAAATTACACATCTAATTTTCTGACTTCCTATCACATTTTTAGAGACCCTGGAGCACCAGGATGGTGGAAGCACCCACAAAATGACTACATTTTGGAAAGCAAGCACCCCAAGTCATGGTGAGTCTTTTGAAGACTTGGGGAATGAGTAAAGGAAATTAAAATTATTTTTTACACAAAGTTGTCAGTTTAATAAGATATTTCTCACACAAAGCATGGGCATACTTAGCGTTCCAACTGAAAACACATACTTCCTGAGCATGGTGATACCACGTGTGAGACTCTTTTTTGATTATATATCGGAGATTGTATTTTGTGTATCAAAAAGGATGTACTATAGTGGTCCCTTCTATACACGTTGTCAGGGAATATGAGATAGTGTAGTGTAACCTATGGCAGTCCCAGTTCCTATAAGCCAAACAAGCCTAGCCTACTGGTACGTGGCTTTCCCCAGCAATGCCATGTTCACTGGCCAGGATGTACAGGAAGCTGAAGAAAAGAAAAAACAAAAAAGTTCCTGTGGTTCCAGGAGTGCCGTTGTCTGCAGGGAATGACTGGGGTCTTACAGGAATGAAGTCAGTGGTATGTGCTGATGGTATGTTCAGGCGACAGGCAAAGACATGGTCGACAAACAGGCAAAGGATCAGTCCACACAGCAGGCAGAAATACTGTCAAACAGGCCAGGGTTAGTACATGCAGTGATTAGGAACACTAGGATTTATTTACAAAAGCTGGAGAATAGAAAATCAGGTGCACTTCTGCATAGACATCAATCAGCTTCCAGGTTTTAGGCTGCATTCACACTTGAGTTTTGTAGCTTGAAGCTCCAAAAACACTCAAACTTAAAAAAATCAATTGTTCTCTATGGTGCCTGTTCATGCGAGCAGATGTGAACGGGCAGCATAGAAAATATTTATTTGATTTATTACGTACCTTCCTTACCCCAGACACCACTAAACTACTCGTACACTCCCTGATTATCTCACGCCTTGACTACTGCAACTCCCTTCTCACCGGCCCACCATAGTGCAGGCTCTCCCCGCTCCAGACCATCCTGAACTCAGCGGCCAGACTCATTCACCTCACAAACCGCTCCACCTCTGCCACCCCCCTCTGCCTATCCCTCCACTGGTTCCCGATTGCCCAACG